CCCCACGACCCGACCCTCTTTCCTCCCCGATATGAAAAAAGTTGAATTAGCTAAACATGCTAAATTCCTGCCTCAACAAACCTTTCAAGGTCGTTGAGGATAAATAACAGTATTATACTTCGTCCGATTAGCGTGAGACTAAAGGCAAGTTGAGGTATTTGTAATCGTCTCATAAAGATCAGAAAAAAACAAGAATTTGTATACATGATATTGCCTGCCTCTTTAAGCTCCAGATAAAGGAAACAGAGTAGGGATACCTGTATAAACAACGAAGTTATGCTACTTTATTCTTAAAAAGGCCCTAAAACAGCGCGTCTGCAATCGTTGTCCAAAGAAGAGAGAGAGAGAGAGAGAGAGAGAGAGAGAGAGAGAGAGAGAGAGCAAGAGAGAGAGAGAAAGAGAAAGACAGAAAGAGAGAGAGAGAGAGACAGAAAGACAGAGAGACAGCGAGAGAGAGAAAGACAGAGAGAGAGAGAGAGAGAGAGAGAGAGAGAGAGAGAGAGAGAGAGAGAGACAGACAGACAGACAGACAGACAGACAGACAGACAGACAGAGACAGAGAGAGAGACAGAGAGTGTCATCACTGAGTTGAAGAGCCCTGAACTTGGTACTTTTCCTCTGGATTCTCCCCCTTGCCCTTCTCTGCGTCCGTCGTCTTGTCGTCCGGCTTGTACCACTTGAGCAGATCCCCCACAGTTTGCGGCAGTTCCCTCCCGTTGGTCTCCGGAAGTATCACAAACAGCAGGCACACGATAAACGCACAACCCCCGATGAGAACCCCAGGGCCCCATTTCACTTGGTCCGCCTGAAACATACAAAACAATTGAGGGGAAAAGAATACAGATAAAGTGAAATAGAAGAGAATATTAAGCATAATAATATACTAAAACATAAATATTACTATAGAAAATTGTTAATATATAAAAAGTTGTAAAGTTTTGTCCTGTCCTCATTTTTTGTTACAATTTTTAAACTGGCCTTTTTCGAATACGTGAGTCAATTTTCTTCATACTGACAATTTTGACTACCTCTTGGCGGAATTTATGAGTTAATACCCTTTATATTGGTCCCATTTTAGACACTATGCAAGCAGATAACTCTTAATTCATTACGGAGTGACGACATAGACTGGGTTGCCTCCTTTTCCTAGAGCTCTGTGCTTATCATTACAGTCTAACCTGTTGGGTCACGAGACTTGTATCGCTGTTTTTCAATTATGTTTCTCTTTACTCACTTTACACGAACAAATGCCTATTTTAAGGAATGAATGTCCTCTGACAGAAGTTACCACCAAAAAAACCCCCCGCTGATTCTCTGTACCAATGATTTCTATTTTTATTCTAAAAGGGTCTGAAAATGTGCTATTATTCTAAATTCCTGTGAACGTGAAGAGTATACTCGTATTCGACAATGTTAAAGCTATTCAAAGAATTGCATTCCAAAAAGCTAGACAGGTTGTGAAACTAAATAATTAATTTGCATGCCCAATTTCCCAAACCTAGGTCTCAAAATTAGGCACTGCGCAGACAGAACTTTGTAATGCTATGGTGACGCAGTAAGCACGTACCAGAACACTTGTGAACGGCGCCAACATTCCTCCTATACGGCCTACAAAAGACGACACGCCTAAGGCCTGGCTCCTGCACAATGAGAGAGGATAGAAACAGAACATGGGGGTTAAATACCGTAAAAAATAAACATGTCTAGAGTTTTCTCGCCCCCGTCACCGACTCGATGAGCACCCTCAAAACAGAAGAGTCTTGAACATCTAGCTCTCACTGGCAGAATTGAGGGCAAGCGATGCAGGGGTAGGCCCAGAACAACATACTTAGAGAACCTAAACAAATGTGTAACAAGGAAAGATCAGGGAAACGTAGCTTTTTTTAGAGCAGCCAAGTTAAGGAATGAATGGAAAACCATGATCGCCGATGTCTGTCGCAGATCTGGCACTGGATGATGATAATGAGAGTTCTCTAGCTTAGCTCCATAAAATAAACATATCTAGAGTTTTCTAGCTTAGCTCCATAAAATAAACATATCTAGAGCTTTCTAGCTTAGCTCCTGACAGTCCCAGCTGGGGAGCAGCAGCCACAAAGGGCAGTATATCATAATATGAGGCTTCACCTATAAGAAATGCTAAAAACAAAGAGAGAAGCCCACAAACAGTGCATGTCTACCAGTGGATGTTGAGCTTTTTAAATGTTCAGAATATGGCAAACCTTTTCTGTGCCAGAATTGGTCTCATCGACTGAAAAGAAAGCGACAAGTCATATTAAGCTCTTAACTCATCTATTTCGCTGGTAAAAATATTCTCCATATCTGATGTATTGGTCATCGTCATAATTGACGGATGAGCTATTTAAGTTTTCTCAGAATTGTAAACGGAGACTGTAGACGGTTGAAGAGATACACCTCAAATGAGAAGGACAACGTAAGTTATGAAGAAATGTCCCACACTCTGTTAGTTTTTAATTCTGCTCATCAGTAAAAATACAGCCATTTTATTTGTACTTTCTTAACAACAACAACAACAACAGTAACAACAACAATCACAACAACAATAACCACAACAACAACAACAACAACAACAACAACAACCACAACCACAACAACAACTACAAAATAAATCGTTTCCCGTCAGATTCTGATTTCCACCCTTACACAATATGATGTTTAAAGTGACAGCACACATATGTTTGTTTAGCGTGAATTTTAAAAAAAGTGACCAACAATGTTTGCTGATTGCAAAATAATGCCACAATGTTTCTGGAGATTCTGTAGTTTTTTATCAGAATATTATACGACTGTGACCTTAGATTCGGGAATAATAAATACCATCATGCCATGGACATAATTGATTCAATGGTGACATGTTTTGACGGAATGAGGGACTTCTCAATTATTTTTGGCCACTTGTAGTTATTAGTATTATTTTAAGGCTTGCTCGTTTGTCTTTCTCTCATTGGAAAAATAATACTCATCTCTATTGAATAAAAATCGAGATATTTGTGATTGAACCAGGTAGGAGTTACCTGGTCTCAGAGGTAAAGTTTACACCAAAAAATGGCCGTCAAAGCTAGGTGAATTCCACAGCTTACGAGTTATTTGAAACTGCAACATTACACTTTCTGTGTCTTTAATAAGCAATTTTCAGCAAAATTAACAGAAAAATGTTTATTTAAATGGGGGTGCAATAAGTTGAGCAAAAAAAAATCGATACAAATTACCAACAAACGGAAGAATGCCTATTCTTTGATTTCATTTTTCTTTTTTAAAACATTTTTTACGAGCGCCTGATTTCACCACGCCGCCCCACAATAATAAATATAGCGTAGTACGTTGGCACAGAGGAACAGCTGCCAGGTCTCCAATTTCTGCCAACATTCCCTGCCAGCATTTTGACCCCAGTTTCTGTGGTGCAGCGATAGGCGCCCCGCTGTCGCACGAAGGTGACCCAAGAACGAATCCCAGGTGGGTAGACAATCTTTATCGAATATCTCGATCTTTCTGATAAGAACTTTTGTTCCTTTCACACCGAGTTGGCCCTGACAGGCAAGGACGGAAGCCCGACTCCCTTAATAGAAAACGATTTTGAATTTCTTTGTAGAAGTGGCCGAGACACTCTAACCAATCTGCCATTTTTACCGGTTGACCGGTTGAGATCAACGTAAACATTAAAAAGAAGGAAATATATTTTTTTTAAAATTCAAGTATGAGAATGCGCAAGAATGAGAGGAAAATTAGGCACTCGTGTTTTGTATTTGGGTTTCGTTATTGTTGGGGTTTTTTTGTTTGTTTTTTTGTTTTGTTTTGGTTTGGCCTTTATGAAATCGTAGAAACAGATATATTAATATATTTCCGTGTGTTTTACAATTCTATCATTAGTTCTGGAGATTGGGGTGAG